TTAGAAAGATAATGCCTCCACACTGCCAGGGCGGATTCCTGCCTAAAACCCCGCCCTTACAGGAAGAAGCTCCGGGAAACAGCTTCGGAGAGGGTGCAGTCGTTGCCAAGACAACCCCTGAAGGACTGACCTGACTTCCTTCCACTTGGTCATGGGGGTTCTAGACATGATGAACACCAATCAGGGTTTCTATAAAAGTGCTCTCCCACCTCCTAGGCAGCACTAAGGATGTTCCACTACCAGCTTAGGCCTGCTTCCCCCGGTCCCGGCGATCCCGGATTGCGAGAGGCAGTTGGACATCCCCCGAGGACTCCTAGACTGTGAGAGGGCGCAGGCTGGGCTGAGGGACCCCCCGAGTGCACGAATTTTGTGCATCAGGCCTCTAGTATATCTATATCTATAACTATATCATCTATATCTATCTATAATAATAAAAGCATAATATGCTAATTAGACCGGACAGCTGAACGACCTTCTGGACGTCCTTCTGGACAAAGCTGCAGTGGCAGGGGCAAAGGCGGTTAGGGGCGATCAGGCAGGCAGGCCAGCAGTTAGGAGCCAGCAGTCCCAGATTGTGAGAGGGTGCAGGCCGGGCTGAGGGACCCCCCTGCACACAATTTCATATATATATATTAATATTAGAGGCCCAGTGCACAAAATTTGTGTATGGGTAGGGTCCCGAGGCCTGACTGGTGATCAGGTTCAATCAGATTCCCACCGCCCCACCTCCCTACCTCCTCCTACCCTCACAGCCTGCCCATACACCACCAACATGGTCCCCCCCTCCCACCACCCTGTCTCTCTGGTTTCTACTTCGCTCGCTCCCTCATTCCCCCTGCCGCTGCTGCTGCTGGTTGTCCGTCATGTTCCACGCTGCCCCTTGGTGGTCAACGCATGTCATATTGAATGATCAAACTCCTGGTCTCCTGGGTGAACTCCTGAGGGGACACTTTGCATATTAGCCTTATATATATATACTAGGGGCCAGGTGCACGAAGATTCATGCACTGGGGGTGGGTCCCTCAGCCCGACCTGCACCCTCTCCAATCTGGGAGCCCTCAGGGGAGCCCTCTCCAATCTGGAAGTTTCTGTTTGTCTTTGCAATCATATGAGCGAATTGTCTGAGACCCCCAACCCAGTTTGGTTTGTTGCTCACAGAATAATAGAGGCATTTTTTTTTTCTTTGCTTCATTGGTGGAGATTTCCTGGAAGGTTTAGGATATCTTCCCTTTAATTTTTCCAAGACACTCCGATTTTACTTATGTCTCTCACCTTTGCTTTCCCTCCACCCCACTGCAACAGTAACTTGCTCCAGGCTCACTTTTCTCTAGTGTATAGGAGATATGTTGGCCACTAGAACTATGATTCCCAGCACTCCTGGCACTCCCTGCACTCTGGGCTTCCACTTCAGGTCCTGGGGCTGCCACCAGAACTACTATTCCCAGAATTCCTGGTGCTCCCCACACTCTTGGTTTTCCCTTCCTGCTCTGTCTCTGTCCCACAGCCTCCCACTCTGCCAAGTCCTCCAAGATGCCAGCTCTGCCCCTTTGCTCTCCATCTGCTGGATTGGGGAGCCAAGTTCCCAAAGCTGCTCCACTCTCTGCCGGCTCTCCCGCTCTGCTCTCTGCCCGGTGGCTTGGGGGGACATGGCTCCCTCGGTCGCTCCACATCCCCCCATGCCTCCAGCTCTCCTGCTCTGCTCTCCGCCTGGCACCTGTCCATGCAAATTAACCCACCATCTTTGGCAGGTTAATTTGATACTCACTCCTGATTGGCTGGTGAGCGTACAGGAGGGACAGTCAATTTACATGTTTCTCTTTTATTATATAGGATTTAGATAGATAGATAGATAGATACTCTTGTTATAATCTCTTTTAAGCTGCTAATTTCCACCGCACACAAAAACAAATTCATTGCAGTCTGCTTCCTTATGTTATGTTACTGATGTCACAAATTCTATTTTTTTATACTGCCTACCAATTATCATATACTGGGAGGGGCAAAATTAGGTGATAACTTCTGTGTTTTCATACTCACCACTGAAAACCTATTTTGCCCCACCCTGTCTGAACATTAGGTTTTATGCTCTGGTCTTTTAACTCCTATAAAGGAATAAAAAGTGTATTTTTGAAAATTACAATAAAATAAGATTTTATAATTGTCCATGTATTTACCTTTAGTGGAGAATTTTATATTTTCATATCACTTTGATTTATTTTCTATTATCCTTTTTACTTCAAATTGAAGGATTCCTTTATCATTGCTTGTAGGGTAGGTCTAATGATAATGAATAGCCTCAGCTTTAGTTTATCCTGAAATGTCTTAACTTCTCCCTCCTTTTTGAAGGACATTTTGTACCATATGATTTAAGGCACTGATTGTCCCATCTGGTTTCAACTTGATTCCCCAGCTTTTGCCTTCTCCTGCTCCAAAAAATAATTCTGGAAATCTTATGGATAGGGTAGTGATTATAGCCAACAATATTATATAATAAACATTAAAGCTGCGAAGAGACTAGATCTTAGTTGTTCACACAGCAACAACAAATTTAAGTGATGTGATTGAGGTATGAGCTAACACTATAGTTATAATCATATTGCAATGTAGAAACACAGCAAATTAAGAATGTTGTACATCCTAATCTTACACAATGTTCCATGTCAATTATATCCCATTAAAAAATCCACATCCTGTTGTTCTCTAGGGATTCCCCAAAACTGGCTGCATATGAGGCTCATCTGGGAGCTTTGACAATGTTCCAATGCCCAGGCCTCATCATCTACTAATAATCAATGCACAATATTGATTGTAAGACAGTACATTCATAGCCATTGAAAGTTTAAAGTCTAATATGTTTGTAGGTTGTTTTTTAAAATTATAATAACTAAGATTTGGAAACAGTCCAAGTGCCCCTTAGTAGACTAATGGATAAATAAGCTGTGGAACAGTTATACAATGGGATACTATGCAGCTATAAAAAAGAGGGATCACTTACCCTTTGGGATAGCATGGATGGATCTGGAAAATATTATGCTAAGGATAATAAGCCAAACTGAGAAATACAATTATAGCATGCTCTCACTTATTTATGGAATGTAATTAACAAAATAAACTGATGAATGGAGTGGATCTGAAGACATGAATGCATAAAACAGAATCCAGAATCTCAGAGGGAAGGAGTTTGAGGAGGGGTGGGTGAGTGGAGATCAATCAAAGAACTTTTATACATATATGCATAACCCAAGGACATAGACAATAGGGTGGCTAAGGCCTAGAGATGGGGGGCTGTGAGACTGGAGGGGATCCATGGGGGAAGAAGTGGGACTTATGTAATACTTTCAATGATAAAGATTACAAAGAAAAGGGCACTATGGCAACACCTCCCTTACTAGGGTGCTGTTCTCAGAATGTCCACAAGAGGCACTATTGCCACACCTCCTTCATGGTGAGAGCCCTCTAGGTCTCTCCATAGGCTGTTCTTTCAACTCCCTGCAAGGGTCACAGCCCTCTAGTACTGTCAATTGGGTTTTAACTCCTAGAATTCATTACTAGGGTGCTGTTTTCAGAACATACACCAGAGAGAGAGATTGCAATACCTGCAAGCAAGGGTGAGAGTCATTTAGGACTGTCAATTGGGTTTCTTTTCAAACTATAAGAGTGGATTCTCACATCTCATTTTTTATTTCCATGTCAGTAGCATTTAGCATGGTCTATGACTCCTTTCTTTCTTGATGCACTTTTTAAAACTTGGCTCCAATGTTTTTTGTTTTTCTCCTTTATCATTTCTTGTTCCTTATGTGTTTCTGTTACTGATCTCATTTGTTATTTCAGTGCTGGTACTAAATGTACAGTCCTTTTCTATTTCCCTAAGTGATCTTATCCAGTCTCATGAATTTT